TCAGGTCAGCCTGAGGCCAGGTGTGACATGCAGTCACCAGGGTGAAGGGAAGGACAGGTCCCTGCCTCTCCCCCGAGAGGCTGAGAGCCTGCAGCCAAATGTGGCCTCAGAGATGCTGGCCCCAGCACCCAAGGGCCCAGTCCCCAGTGACGGCAGAGGATGAGCAACCTGACCCCTAAGCTGCCTCTGAGAGGTACCACTGGGCCCACAGTGCCACGCTATTTCAGGTCCGCCTCTGCTCTGGGGCTGCCTGGGGGGGTCCCTGCAGGGCTGGACTGAGGCGGGAGCAGGCACCTCTGAAGGACGCCTGTGCCTTGGGTGGCCTCCACAACAGCTGGGCGGGTACAGAGGTGTCCGGTGGTCTTACACAGAGCCCCTGAGCCATCCCTGCATGCTGACTGCCCCTCCCCTCTGCTCTGCCAGTAAGGAGACAAGAGACCTCCACAGCGGAAATGGAATACCAGGCGGGCGTGACTGCTGTGGTGGAGAAGGTCAAGAGTGCTGTACAGTGCTCTCACGTCTGGGTAATGCCCCTGATGCTCCCGGAGCATGGCAGGAGGGTGGCTGAGCCTCTCATGTCTGGGTAATGCTCCCTGGCACTCCCAGGGCATGGCAGGAGGGTGGCTGAGCCTCTCACATCTGGGTAATGCCCCTGGCGCTCCCGGAGCATGGCAGGAGGGTGGCTGAGCTGGGCTGGGGTCTGCAGGTGCTCTGGAATGGACACACAAAGTGGCAGCTCCCTCGGTCGCCCCAAATCCTTTTATCTTAATTCCATCTGCATTTATTATTATCAGGCCTTGAGTTCCCAGCCACTGCCCTGACACAAGCTTGTCCACTGTCAGACAAGTGACTCGAGTGACACAGTGCCCCTCAGTGATGATCCCCTTATCTCTACACGGGGTTATCTACTCTCTCTGCCTGCCATGAGGGTCGTGTGCAATGACACCCACAAAGCGTTTGTGTGGTAGCCCACACCTGTGGTCCCAGCTACTCAGGAGGCTGAGGTGGGAGGGTCGCTTGAGTCTGGGAGGTTGAGGCTGCAGTGAGCTGTGATCACACTTGTGAATGAGTGCAGAGAAAGTGCACTTGGCCGGGCGCAGTGGCTCAAGCCTGTAATCCCAGCACTTTGGGAGGCCGAGACGGGACGATCACGAGGTCAGGAGATCAAGACCATCCTGGCTAACACAGTGAAACCCCGTCTCTACTAAAAATACAAAAAATTAGCCGGGCGCGGTGGCGGGCGCCTCTAGTCCCAGCTACTCGGGAGGCTGAGGTGGGAGAATGGCGTAAACCCGGGAGGCGGAGCTTGCAGTGAGCCGAGATAGCGCCACTTCACTCCAGCCTGGGCGACTGAGCGAGACTCCGTCTCAAAAAAAATAAAAAAGAAAGTGCACTAGCCTCTGGGAGGGGCCCAGAAGAAACCAGTTCTGTGAAGCCCCCTCTGCCCACCTTCCTGGCCCACACCTGCTTCTCTCTCCCCTGCAATGGCCAGGACATCGCTGGCCGCTTCCTGGCCCAGAGGAACACGGAGGAGAACCTGGAGCTGCAGATGGAGGACTGTGAGGAGCGGCGGCTGCAGCTGAAGGCCCTGGTGAAGCAGCTGGAGCTGGAGGAGGCCGTGCTCAAGTTCCGCCAGCAGCCTAGCTCCATCAGGTGCCCCGGGCTTCCGGGGCTGCGGGTCACCCACCATGGTCTCATGAAGGCCCCTGGGCTGCAGCCAGGCTGGGAGCTGGGAGTGCACCCACTGCCAACAAGCCTGTGTGTCCACAGAGGGGCCGGGGGACTTGCACACACCTGAGCTTCTGAGTCCCTGGCTCTAACACGGAACCCAACTCAAGACCGGGCTCCTGGGTGGCCCACCATGGCCCTCGGGCCTGTGCCCCTCACTGCTGTGTCCCTATTGCCTTCTGCAGCTTCAAGTCCATTGAGAAGAAGATGACAGACATGCTAAAAGAGGAAGAAGAGAGGCTCCAGCTCGCGCAGAGCAACATGACCAAGGGCCAGAAGCTGCTGCTGACCATCCAGATGGGCATCGACAACCTCTATGTCCGGCTAATGGGCATCACCTTGCCTGCAACCCAGGTACCGGGAGTGAGGCGGAGCTGCCACACATGGGGTCCCTGGGCAGGGCCAGAGGGGAGATGAGACCCTCCTCCCGGCCTACAGAAAGAAGTGCCCTCCGACACCCTCGATTTGAACAGCAAGCTGGCGTACTGCGAGGGGAAGCTCACATACCTGGCTGACAGAGTGCAGACGATGTCCAGGACCAAGGAGGTAGCCCCGGGGTGGGAGGAACCTGCACAGCCCACGTCCCCTCAAAGCTGACAGCCCCCCGTTCACAGTGTCTGCACGGCTGAAGGGGGTTTTGCCCTGCAGGGTGACACAAAGGTGAGGGATGCCCTGGAGTCCTCGACTCTGAAGGAGAAGTACAACACCAGGATCAGCTTTGAGGACCGCGAGGAGTATATGATCGGTACAGGCTCCGGAGCTGGGGCTCGGGCTGCAGGCGGGTGGCTGGAACAGAGGTGGGGGTGACGCTGACTCCCATCCCACCGGGATATCCTGGAGGCACAGCGGGGCTACAGGGTGCATCAGTTGTACCTGCAGGACTTCAATTGATGGAGGTGACTTAGTGATGCCATGGGGAGGCTAAAGCCACTGAAATACCTTATTAATTTCTCCGAAAGGAGGAGGCATGACATGCCAGACAGGCCCGCAGGAGAGGCACCAGGGCTGGAGCAGGGAGGAGGGCGGGGAAGGCCTGGGCCAGAGCCTCCACTGGGGTTTCCGTGGGAAAGGCTAAGCAGGGCAGTGTGAGCCGCTGAGGATGGGCTGGGCTGAGTCCTCCCGGCACACTGGGGCTGTCCCTGGGGCAAGGCACCTGGCCCGGGTCTGTAGAGGGCCGGGGTGATAGGCGGGTCGGGCGGCTGTGCCTGGGTGGGCTAGCCCCGTGTGCGAGCCGCTGCCTCCGCCCGCAGACACCTTCCAGTTCGCCGACGTGGACCACAGCTACGTCCCTTCGCGCGCCGAGATCAAGAAGCAGGCGCAGCGGCTGATCGAGGCGAAGCTCAAGGCGGCCAAGAAGAAGAAGAAGTAGCCCCGCCGCCCCGCTCCCTGCTTTGTTACACAAATAAACATTTTTCCAGGACTGCTGCGGAGGCTGGGGCGACCGGGCTCTCGGAGAGGAGCACCGGGCACGCAGGATTCTCGGAGAGGTTTTAAGCGGGGAGGCGGCCCGGGCCGGGAACTGCGCGCCAGAACGGCCTGCGCATGCGCCGGCCGCGCGCGCCGCGCCCCATGGCCCTCGCGACGCCCTGTAGCCGCGCGCCCCTCGCGTCCCGCCGAGCCGGCGCCAAGATGGCGGCGCTGACGCCTGGAGAGCGGCCGCGCCGGAGGCCGCGGGGGCCGGAGCGGAGCAGCAGCCGCTGAGGTTCCCGAGTCGCCGCTCGAGGCTGCGCCCCGGTCTCTGACCGCGCCGCCTCCGGCCTCCGGGGGGACCGGGGCCGCCGGGACATGGTGCGAGTCGCACCCCTTCCCCGCCGCCGCTGAGCTCGCCGGCCGCGCCCGGGCTGGGACGTCCAAGCGGGAAGATGTTTTCCGCCCTGAAGAAGCTAGTGGGGTCGGAGCAGGCCCCGAGCCGGGACAAGAACATCCCCGCCGGGCTGCAGTCCATGAACCAGGCGTTGCAGAGGCGCTTCGCCAAGGGGGTGCAGTACAACAGTGAGTGCGGCGGGCCGGGGTGGGCGCGGGAGCGCCGCGCGGGTCTCCGAGCCCAGGCCCTGCCCGGAGCGCCGCGCGGTGGTGGCTGTCGGTCTCGCCTGCTTGCCGGTTGTGGGGTGCGCTGGACCCGCCGGGCGCTCCGGGAGCTGGGGCGCGGGCCAGGGGACGCTAGGAGAGGCCGGGCCGGGGCCGGGTCCTCGCATCACCGGAGCCGGGGGTCGTTTCCCAACCGCGTTCGCCTGCCGCGTGTCGCTCCCGCCGCGCTGTGCAGTGGAGCGGGTCGGCGGTGCCGGCATTGGCCCGGCTGCCCGGCCCGGGGGTGATTACATAACGCCAAGCAGGGCCCGCCGACCCGGGGCGCCGCGTCCCCGACGCTCCACGGTGGCCAGTCCCGGGCACCTCTCACCTGGAGGAGGTGCGGGGAAACCTGCCGGCCTTGGCGCTTTCAACGGGATTTTTCTTTGTTGACTTCCTACTGAGCTGGAAGGCAGAATATTAGCTACGCCACACATTCTCGTCTTTTTGTTTGTTTTTTTTAAAGAAGCATTTGTAAGGGACGTATCTAGAAAAGCTCCAGAAGGCACGGGCTGACTTACGATTGTAGGAGACAGTCCATTCCTCCTGAGGAGGAGTCATTTACGGACTCCCGAGCGCCTGGGACGCTCCATTCCTTTGTTATAAATTATGTAAATTGTCCTCGACCTCTTTTGAGTTTTTCCGTTTTGCAGGCTCTTTCCCAGTAGTTTTTAAACGGTTTTATGTGGTTCCCTGCTTTGGCATTGTTTCCCTCTTAGCCATTTCCGTATGTTTCTATCAGATTTTAGGACGCTACGCCTGTCCAGTTTTTTGGTCACTTTAAGGGGAGGCTTATAGTCTGCGTGATGTTTCTATGGTAATGTACGATTTTAAGAACTAATAATCAGAAAGACTCTTGTGCAGGTTTAAAAACAAGTTCATGAATTCGCCTGCCGTGTCCACGGAGATGGGCCGTAGTTCTTGGCCGTAGGGACTGGACTGGAGCTAGTGCAGGAGGACAGTGAAGATGTCGCCTTCCTTAGTCCCGGCCACTGTCTGGCCTGTGAGCAAGAGGAAGCTGCAGACCACTTGGGCCGCCCTCACCCTGACACCTTCAGCAGTAAGCAAGATAAAACAACTTCTTAAAGATAAGTCTGAGCATCTAGGTATGAAAGTTGGTGTCCGGGCCGGGCATGGTGGCTCATGCCTGTAATCCCAGCACTTTGGGAGGCCGAGGCGGGCGGATCACGAGGTCAGGAGTTCGAGACCAGCTTAGCCAACATAATGAAACTCGTCTCTACTAAAAATACAAAAAAAATAAAAAAAAAAAAGTTGGTGTCCGAACCAGGGGCCGTATTGGCCTTTCTTATACTCTAGAGCATACGAAGACAAAGGAGATTTTGATGAAGTTCAAATTGGAGTCAGAGTGCTCATCGGAAAGAAAGCGCAGCAAACACGTTTAGGAACAGAAATGGATTATGTTGAAGACAAATTATCCATTGTGTTTGTGTTCAGTAACCCAAGCATCAAAGGAACTTGTGGCTGGGGAGAAAGCTTGACTATTTGCAATCTCAGGATTCCTCTGGCCGGAGCTCCCGGACTCCTGTGGAAGCCTGGGGGCTCGCTGAAGAAGTCACATGACTGGAACCTGCTTAGTGCTCTGCTGTCTGGTAAGGAAAATAAAGCGGTACGTTTTGAATAAAAATAAAAGCTCATTTTAAATGTGTTATAATTGAAACTTTATGTATATCTGGCATTCGCAGAAGAGAATATTGAGTTAAAATACTGAGTTTACGCAAGTCTTTAGACTCTGCATTTGGATCCTTTATTTAATTTTATTGCTTATAATATTGGCTAAGCTCAGTATTAGTCCCTGGGAAATTAGGCCTGGACCTGGAAACTGTTCATCTTCTGAAAAGGCTCCCCAAGGGTCCTGGGCGAGGTCCACCTTACGCACCAGGACCACCCCTGCGAGTGTGACTAAAAAGGGCAATAGGATCCTTCCAGAGGAGAAAAGCCAGTCTCCAGTACTTGGAGGACAGGTTATGATCTCCTAGAACTGAATGAAAGGTGGTGAGACTGAGAGAAATTCGGATTTGTACCTAAATTACATTTTAGAAAGATGTTGGTCGTTTATTAGTTGAATAATATGCAGTTTTGTTAAACCTTTGCGAGTTTCTGTGTATAGGAATAGAAAGTGTCTAATATTATTTTTTACCTTTTTTTTTTTTTTTTTTGAACGGAGTCTCGCTCTGTCGCCCAGGCTGGAGTCGGCAGTGGCGTGATCTCGGCTCACTGCAAGCTCTGCCTCCCGGGATTTATGCATTCTCCTGCCGCAGCCTCCCGAGTAGCTGGGACTACAGGTTGACCTGCCACCACGCCGGCTAATTTTTTGTATTTTTAGTAGAGAGGGGTTTCACCGTGTTAGTCAGGATGGGTCTTGATTTCCTGACCTTCGTGATCCTCCCGCCTCCGCCTTCCCAACAGTGCTGGGATTATAGGCGTGAGCCACCGCGGCCTGCCTTCTAATATGTTATTTTTCTCATATTTTACAGAGTGGTACAGACCAGCAGTGTGATCAACGGACAGAGATTAGGGTTTATAGGGATGAGAGTTTGCCAGGAACTGTGCTGCTGGTTTCCAGGAGTCTGGCCCTCCTCCTGGGCCCTGTGTTGCCTCAGAGATCCACTAGGCGGCCCGCAGAGCTAGGCACCCATCGGTTTAGAATGAAAACTTCGAATGAGACATTGGGCTATAGTTGATTTAAAAAAAAGTCAAATCGTGTGCTATATTCGAGAGATTTATTTTGAGCTGTGCATGATGAGACCATGGGCCCATGACACAGCCCTCAGGTGACCCTGAGGACGTGTGCCCACATTGGAGGGCACAGCTTGGTTTTATGCATTTTAGATGTGAGGCATTGATCAAATACATTTAAGATATATATTGATTTGGTCCACAAAGGCGGGACAATTTGAAGTGGGGGCCTCCAGGTCAGAGGTAGGTTTAAAAAAATTTTTTTTTGCTGGGCGCAGTGGCTCACGCCTGCAATTTCAGCACATTGGGAGGCCAAGGCAGGTGGACTACCTGAGGTCAGGAGTTCAAGACCAGCCTGGCCAACATGTCGAAACCCCGTCTCTACTAAAACTATAAAAATTAACCAGGGGTGATGGTGGGTGCCTGTAATCCCAGCTACTCAGGAGGCTGAGGCGGGAGAATCGCTTGAGCCCAAGAGGCGGAGGTTATAGCAAGCCGAGACTACGCCACTGCATTCCAGTCTGGGTGACCGAGTCAGACCCTGTCTCAAAAAAAAAAAAAAAAAAAAATTTGCACCGCTACACCCAGCTAGTTTTGGTATTTTTTAGAGAGACAGGGTTTCACCACGTTGCCCAGCTAGGCTCAAACCCCTCTGCTCAAGCAATCTGAACCCCCTGGCCTCCCAAAGTGCTGGGATTACAAGTGTGAGCCTCTGCGCCCGGCCAGATTATGTTTCTTATCAGACTTACAGTCAGTGTTGATGTTAAATGCTGGTGAGCTTTTCCTGAATTCCAGAAGGGAGGAGGCCATAATGAGGCATGTCTGACTCCCCTCTTCCCATAATGGCCTGAACCAGTCTTTCACATGAAATTTGGATGGCCCTGGCCTAGAAGAGGAAGTCCATTCAGATGGTTGGCAGGCCTTGGGATTTTAATTTTGGTTTACACAATTTTGAAATTATTTGCATATAAAATTATTTGGAAAATTATTTGAAATTATTTGGAAGAAAGATTGTTGCCTGAATTGGTCTGTCCCTTTCTACTGTGATTGGACACAAAAGATCAGCTTATTTGGTGCAGAATTTTTCTGTGGTGTTGCTCCTGAGTGAGCATTATTGCGCAACTCTGATACCGGCTGGGCCCAGGAGCTCAAAAGCCAGAGTCCTCTCCAAGTAGACATTGGTGCAAATTTAGAAATGGGACTTAGCAGGCCGAGCGCGGTGGCTCACACCTGTAATCCCAGCACTTTGGGAGGCTGAGGCAGGCGCATTACATGGTCAGGGGCTGCCCGGCCCGGGGGTGATTACATAACGCCA